CACACACACACACACACACACACACACCTGTATATTAAAATAAAATGTTCTACAAGTACACACAAGACAACAAACATTAAATAAACAAAATACAATTACAACAAAACGAAAGATTTAATTTAATTGCCTGAACAAAAGCATTGCATATTGTTCAGCCTGAATGAGCCTCATGGAATCAAGTTCCACAACTTTTCAACAGAGAACATTGTATTGTGAAGTTAACCCTATCCTAACCCAGATGTCACATAAAGAGACAGCAGTTGATATGTCACAAAACTAGATTTAGGTTTGCTTACAACAACAAACAAACAAACAAGCAAGCAAGTGCGCACCGGTACTACTGTATAACATCGCGCCAAGTGAGTCACGGACCTCAGGCTGTACAAAAAAACAGGGTGGAATATATATTGCTAACTCTTATATGCTGCAACTCTTGTGGGTTTCATAAATGTAAAGTGTCAGTGTCATTACAAACTCTCTGGAGCACACAGGAATTCTTACAAAGCACAAATGTTGGCCTTCAGTCATTTTTGACATTCGTTCACTTTGATACATACAATTAAATACTTCACTTGTGGAAGAACGAGTGCAAAACCAGGCAAGTTAAACAAGCAAGTTCACTTTCAATTCAATCACATATGAAAAGTGAAAGCATTTTAATAATGTTTAAATTTAGCATCCTAAACAACTTACCTAGTACCACATTAGAATTTCTAGTAGCATATAAATCAATAAACTCTCTTACCTTTAAATGCTTAAATCAAAAGTTAAAGTGAAATGATACACTCTTCATAGCATCTCAGGTCTGATTCTCAGAGCGCTAAGCAACTGCAAGCACTTCCTTTAAAACAGGCTTGTAACAAAACACATATGGTATTAATGAGGACAGATTCAATACTAAGGGAACAAGCATGATGTTATGCTCATGTGACATCCTTGTTTAAATTAATGATTTCCCTGTTTTACCTCATCTAATGATGTCACGTAACATGGCATTTAGATTGCTTCTTTCTTGGTTCCCAGTTCAACTTCTCAGTGTGTTGAAATGATAAACATCAAATTTGCAGAACAACATGTTGCATGATCTGAAGCATCATTAATGTTAAGAGTTTAAGAAAACACTGATTGTAATGTAAAATGCATTGCTAAAGAGAGGTAAATTCAATGCTGTAACTCATTTTTTAGAGTGACGTCTTGTTACTCTTGCCGTGGGGAAAAACAGCACGTGACTTCAGGTGGCTTTCGTGTTCAAACCCCATAATAAGCCCCCTGTGTGCAAACAAATTGCTTCAAGCAGGCTTCAAACAAATGTTGCAGCACTTCCTGAACAGTTTACGGTTACACAGCATGTAACGCAGACAATAATCTCTCACACATCACTTCCTGGAAACAATCAAAGTCATGTCTTGTTCACGTTAACGCTTAACAAATGGCAGGGCTACTGCCTGAATGAGCTCAAATGAATCAGTTGACAGCATGTCGCTTTTGCTGTGGTTTGCACATAAAGGCCTGTGATATGTGGAACAGATGTGAGACGTTCAACACATATATGTCTTTTCAGGTACAACATGCCAGTCATGACACATATTAACAGCTCTCACAGATCGAGTGGATGGATCTCACAAAACCTGTCAAAGCTATATTTCACTCCCATAATAATAATAATAATAATAATAATAATAATAATTAAATAAATAAATAAATAAATAAATAAATATACACACACACACACACACACACACAATAACAAATATAATAATAATAATATTATATTTAAGTAATGTTTAAAAACTGCATTAATATCATGCATTAATATTATGATTTGTCTTTAAGTACATATTTTTTAAAGTAATTTAAATAAAAAAATAATTGTATTAGCCCTTAAATAATGTAATACAGTAAAAACGAACTGAGATTCCCCAATAAAAATAATGAGAAATCTCAAATGTGAAATGTCCAGATGGATTACAATAATTAGATTTCATAGGGTGAATTATTACATAAAATAATGTAATAATGCAAAAGAAAGAAAGCTTAATTTTTTTGTAAGATTTACCCTAGTTAAACTATCACTATCACTATCACTACTTTTAAAACAACATTTATTGTGTGCTTCTGCAGGTTTGGTGGTGTTAAATTCAGGTTTATTGATTCAGCAAGGAAGGTGCAAACCTGTATCCTTGTTATGAAGCACATGCATACTGAATTGCTGATTAGTGGTCGACCGATATATCGCCAAGGCCGATATATTGGCATTTTTTAAATATCGGCATCGGCCGATAAGTTTTCGTGTTTGGCCGATGCGTTCGAGGCGGGACTTTTATTTTGACGTCGCTGACAGCGGCAGAATGCTCACATTCTCCCTCTTGTTCGCTGTTGTCGTTAACAGTTCTATTTGTGAAAAATACTTTGTCATCTAAAGTATAAGTATGTTTATTTAACACATTTACTTTTTAATCCATTTTCAAATGATTTCAAATTTCTTAAACATTAATTAAAATAAATAAAATTATATCGGCTTTATATCGGCCACCCTGCTTTCCAAGATATCGGCATCGGCTGTCAAAAAACCAATATCGGTCAACCACCATTGCTGATCTTGTTATGTAGCTTCATATGCTGCGAAACAAAACTATATGAAATCTCTAAAGCAGAGAGAAACTCCATTTCAGCCCCAAATCCAAAGTTAATTAATTATTTCAATAAATAAATAAATATGATTATTATATTGTATTTAGAAAATTAAGCTTTTATTAGGAATATCAGATCAGCATAAAGAAAGAACAACAAATACTGTTATTGTTCACTGCATTAATAGCTTGCTTAATTTTTTTACACATTTAGACGATGACAATATGGGGTAACATGCATTTAATATATTATTTTGGGGTCATACAAAATTGGAAAAAGTCCTGCACACAGTCATATACACATTAAGAAACTTAATTAGATACACGTTTCAGTCAGAGACCCTCTTCAAAAACGAATTCTTTACTTTGTTTTAACTTTAGGAGAAATATGACCCGGACATGTTCTTGACAGGTTTCGTGAGATTTTAATCCATTCATGACTATAAGAGGTGTTTCAGTTTCAAATTCACATGGGACAGAGCACGTACCACACAGAAATATGCTGTTAATTCATAAAATCATAACACAAACTTAAAGAGAACAGCCTATGATGCAATCTTGATAACAGTCAATGTAATACAGCAATACACACAGCCTACGCAAAGATTAAAGTAGCCTACACTTAGGTACAAAGATGTACCTTTTCCCCCGTTGACAGAGTTTTGGGTAAGAAATCTACATCATTATGCAGAATTTCCCCCTGCACTCACAAGGTTATCAGTCATCAGTTTCAGCTTCGTGAAACGTTGAGTTACCCAACACTAAACACACATCAGCGCCAACAAGTTTCTGCAACATCCCAAAGGTCTTTATCTCAGGAAACAGGCTCAGTGTGGCTTTCACGCATTTGCAGAGGAGAGGGGGATTTTAACAGCAAAGACAGAGGCAAAAGAGTGCTTAAACTAATGCAAGTAAAGCACAAACCACAAAACAACACTAAGCAGAGCAACTATCATACTAATGGCATGTAATATTACAGGAAAAAAGTTAAGCATAAGGAAGAAGAGAGCCCTTCCTTACTAAAAATGGCTGTAGAAGTGCTATAAATAGAGTGGTATTTATTTATATGGTACTCCAATGTATATGCAAGAACGACACTACTATGATATAGTAAATTGATACATACCATGGTACATGATGATTGCATATTCACATATCACGGTATTCACAAAGCACTAATTCGTGAAAAAATAAGGTAGGCTACAAGTCCAAAAGAACAAAGTAAAAACATGATACATTTTCTCATTAATCTATGACCTGAGAAAAATACATTTTAGAGACACAAAATTCAGAAAACGGGACTCTTATTTGATGGCAACATACATTTAGCCTACATATAAATATATAGGTAGCCTACATTATTTTTTTAAGACTCCGGCTTGCGAAAACAGTTCCAAGTGTAAAATAATAATAATACAATAAAAAATAAAACCTTAATCAGTCTATCCAAGTAAGTAGAAACCATGTCATCACTGTAGCAACTTTATAAGCACAAGTTCACATTAACGTTAGCTTGTTTCCGTCTCCTTCAAGTTGTGCAACGCTCACTAAAGTACATTTGCTGTTTTAGTAATTAATCGACTGACAGCAAATCTCTGTGATTCAAGTTAATCAAATGAATTTCACATTAACGTTAGCTTGTTTCCGTCTCCTTCAAGTTGTGCAACGCTCACTAAAGTACATTGCCGTTTTAGTAATTAATCGACTGACAGCAAATCTCTGTGATTCAAGTTAATCAAATGAACAATTACCTTGTAAGCCAGTTTAGGATCCTTTCAAACCAGTTGTACCTCCTTGTTTATCTCTCTGCGGTTTTGACTCACCTGCGGCGGCTCGTCAGTCCGGGCATTTACGAATCCTTCTAGAGAGAAGGCACGTCTCATGAATATTGATTAAATAAAGTGACGTTCGACCATTTGATTGGCTAAAAGGCGTTTGACGATTTTTTTTCTACTACGAAACGTTATTTTGCAAATGCGTTTTTTTTGCTTTGTCTACTAACTGCATACGTGTTCATCCAGTATTTGTACACTGATTTAATATTATCTAATAACATAATAATAATAATAATAATATAAAAACGGTTTACTTGAGGTTTGATTAAAAAATAAATTATAAATATTAAATAGGGAATTATTAGCTAATTTCCCCTTCTGGAGCTAAGGGGTTTCGAATAACGTCATCGTGACGTAATTAATATTTATGAGGTAAACATTCTCCATAGTCGTATTTTTAAGTAGCCTAACATTTCCGGGTAAATGCATAGAAGCAAAAATTACTACCACAGAGCAGGGCAGGGCAGGCCTATCCTTTCAGTTTATGACCCCCAAAGACTTTCGAAACAGCTTTCGAAATTATTTTCAGACACTGTTGTAGAGTTTTAGAGAAGCAGGATGTGTTTTTGCAAGTTTATTTTGGCAACAGATCTTTAGCACCTGCACACCAACTTTCACTTCTAAATAGACTCACTCAAAAGCTTTATTCGCAGTCTGTAGTAACAAGTTGGTATTTAAAAAAACATTTAGGCTAATAAACTTTTCAAAAAAATAAGTTTCTTCATTCTAAAAAGCTCAATGTAAAATATCAAAAGATAGACCTACCAAAGTAGGCTATATAAAATAATTGTACTGTGACTAAATGGTTGTTTCCTTTATCCTGTTAGACGTAATATCTAACTCAAGTACAACAAATAAGCAAGATTACTCAGATAACCTGTACAGTTTAAGGTTAAATTGAACGTAAATATTGCCGTTTACGTTAACATAACAGTAGGTGTCGCTAGACACCAGTAGTTCGTTCAAAATGAACGAATCGTTCAAGAACGACCCAACACTAAATAGAGATTTGAAAAAGTAATGATGAAACGACTAAAACCATGAATTATCATCATATTAATTTATTAAAGTGGTTAAAGTTGTCGGATAATATCTGATTAGGCATATGCATTGAGCTCACAGATCAAAAACAACAGTCCATTAGACACAAACTCCTTTGTTCAGCTGGGCGTAAGTTTGAGTTTGACATTGGTGGGGACGTAACAGCAGACAACACCCTCCATAATAATGCTTACCCCAGTGAAAAAGTCCATCCCCTGTTGTCCTCTCACATCAAAATCCACTGACGTGTTAGTTTTGGACTGTTTTCACTTGTAAACGGTGCTTGATCAGTGCATATTTCTCTCCTGATTCAGACGAGATGACTTTTTCACTGGAGAATGCAATATTATAGATAGAGGACGGAGGCAACAGTTTGAAGTTTAAAATGTCTTATGGATTTGTTTCTTACCAACACAGTTTTTGCTTCACAAGACGTTAACTGAGAGTTGTGTGGATTACTGTGATGTTTTTATCAGCTGTTTGGACTCTCATTCTGACGGCACCCATTCACTGCAGAGGATCCATTGGTGAGCAAGTGATGTAATACATTTCTCCAAATCTGTTTCCATGAAGAAACAAACTCATCTACATCTTGGATGGTCTGAGGGTGAGAACATTTTCAGCAAATTTTCATGAGCTACTCTTTTAAAACAAGTTGTGAAGAAAAAAAAACTAGATAACACCATGTCATACATTTTTAAAGTACAACTCTCATTTCAGTTTTATTTCATATTTTGAAACCAGTCATTGCAGAACTGTACACTGGGAGCAAGTACCTGGAATCTGATTGTGAGCAACTGCAGTTAAAATACAGACAGGAAACTCATTGAAAACAACTGCATAGTTTGAATACATTAGACAGGGATGCACTAATATTGTGGTTACTTGTAGATCTGATTCGTTTTACTTGTCATAATTTAATTTTCCAGTTCTACAGCACGGGCCAAGAACACGCCATCATCCATCCATCCATCATCAAAAATCCTCGTAAGTCACAGTACGATCAGAGCGATGCATACAGTGCCGTTTAACTTTGCAGTAACTACCTGTCAAAATCAACAGCAGATTTATTGCAAGTTAAAACAGTTAAAAAGAAATAATAAAACAATACTTTAGTGCACAAGTCACACCTAAAGAAATGATTCTTAAAGGTGAGTTTATTACTGTAAATAAAAAGTCAAAAATAAAGCCAGCGAATTGAATCTGTGAATCCGATCACATGATGGCATGCTGTTTTGTGATTGGCTGCTTCTCTAAGCATTCAGTTGCTGTAGGAAAACTGGATTTGTGCAGCAATGATGATATTTTTGCGGTCAGCTTTGCACAGGACCGAACGTCTATCTATAACACTGATCTTACAGGGAGAACCAAGCAAAGATCTGCTGAACATAAACCGAGGCAATATGAATAAATATGAAAAGAATATTTACATACGAAAGTATTAACAGTATATCGACAGGCGTCACACGTCTACCAGCTAAAGTACCACGATTACAGCTGCATGCCATTCTAAACAACTCGTCAGGACTTGATGTTACCCCACTATTCAC